AATCCCTCAAAATACCCAAAAATCCCTTAAAAATACCCCAAAATCCCCCAAAACACCCCAAAATCCATCAAAACACCCAAAAATTCCTCAAAATACCCCAAAATCCCCTCAAAATATCCCAAAAATCCCCCAGGGACCCCAAAATCCCTCAAAATACCCCAAAATTTCTTTAAAATCCACCAAAATTTCCCCAGAGACTCCAAAATCTCCTCAACATTCCCCAAATCACCTCCAAGCTCCTCAGGGATTCTCAAAATTCCCCAAAATCTCCTCAGGGACCCCAAAATCTCCCCAAAACACCCCAAACTTCCCTCAGGGACCCCAAAATCTCCTCAAAATGCCCCAAAAATCCCCTAAATCCCCTCAAGATCCCCCAAAAATTCTACTAAAATCTCTCAAAATTCCCTCAGGAATCCCAAAATCTCCTCAAAACACCCCAAAATTCCCTCAGGAACCCTAAAATTCCCTTGAGATCCCCCAAAATTTCCAAATTCCCTTCAGGGACCACAAAATCTCCTCAAAATCCCCCACAAATCCCCCTTTTGCCCATATAAGGAAGTTCCTGTTGCCCATATAAGGGATCCCACCAAGCCCCTCCCCCTTTAGGCCCCACCCTCTTTAAGCCCCTCCCATTTTTAACCTTTTTGGGATGGCCTCTAGCGCCCCCTGGTGGCTGCTGCTCAGCCCGGCAGGGCTCGGCTCCGCCCCCAGCAGCCGAAGCTCCGCCCCTCGCTGAAGCTCCGCCCACCTCCGGCTCTGCATCTCCTCCAGCGAGGCCTCTGAGGGGGAATGGGGGGATGAGGACCCCAAAATTGGGGTTTGGGGCATCACGGGACCCCAAAATTAGGGTGGGGACCCCAAAATTGGGGTTCGGGGAGTCGGGGGACCCCAAAATTTGGGGATGGGGAGACCCCAAAAGGGGGTTTGAGGATAGGAACCATTGTGCGGGTGCCGCGTTTCCTGCCGGACTCACCGAGGCGCTGCGCTGTTTCCTGTGCGTCCGCAATGGCGTCCCCCAGGTCCTGCACCTCCTTCCGGAGCAGCGCCACCGCCGCGCGCAGCTCCCCCTGCTGGCTCGGAGGACTGGCGGCGGCCTGCACCGAAATTTGGCCCCAAATCCTCCCAAATTCACCCCAAAATTCCCCCAAATCTCCCCGAGATTGTCTCCAATGTCTACAGGATTCCCAAAACTTCCAAAGTATCGGGAAAATCCCGCAAAAAAGCCAATATAAAAAAAAAAGATATGGCTCAAAATTTACGGGAGGCCGCAATGCTGAGAAATCTCCACAAATTTTGGGAAATCCCCCCGAAATTTTGGGTAAATTCTCCCCCCACTCACCTTGAGGGGCCACAAAATTTTCAAAGAGATCCCAGAAAAAAAACCCAAAACTGGCTGGGACCCCTTAAAACCCTCCCCAATTTTAGGGGTCCCACATTTTAGGGACACCCCAAAATCGGGGGAATGTCTCAAAATGTCGCCCAAATCTGAGGGAAATCACCCCAAATTTTGGGTCCCCCACCCCGTTCCCTCCAACCCCCCAAATGTTGGGGTCCCGCTCACCTCCAGCTCCTGCAGGTGCCCGTACCTGAACCCCGAGTTAAGGAACAATTTTGGGACCCCCCAAACGAAACTTCGGGGTGAACCCTCAAATTTGGGCACCCCCAACCCAAAACCTTCAGCTCCTCCCACAGATTTTGGAGTCTCCCCATTGATTTTGGACCTCCCAAATAATTTGGGAACCCCCCAAATTTTGGGGTTCCCGCCAATTTTTTGAAGTTCCCCCCCCTCCCCCCAATTTTTAATTCCAGGAGCCCCCAAATTTTTTGAGAACCACCCTAAATTTTTGAAACCCCCCCAAAATTTCGGATACCAGCGCAGATTTCCCCGAATCTTCTTCACGTTCCTGTGGGGGCACCCCAAAAATTCTGTGAGGAGGGGGACCCGGAAAAAGCGCGGGAATAATGCCGCGGGGCATGACGGGAGTTGTAGTTCGGGAGGGGTAGGGCCTACAACGATGCTCTATGGGCGGCGCGAGGCATGACGGGAGTTGTAGGCTCGGCTATAATGAAGCGCAAAGGGGCGCGGAGCATGACGGGAGTTGTAGGCTCGGCTATAATGAAGCGCAAAGGGGCGCGGAGCATGACGGGAGTTGTAGGCTCGGCTATAATGAAGCTCAATGGGGCGCGGGGGATGATGGGAGTTGTACGCGCGTGTACAAAGGGACCTATGGGGGCCGCGGGGCATGATGGGAGATGTAGTTCTGGAAAGCATTTCCCCCCTCTTCCCCCCTGAATTTTGGGGTCCCGTTTTAATTTTGGGGTTTTTCCCCCCACCCCAAACGTTGGGGTCCCCTCTCACCGGTGGTTTCGGACGTGGCGGGTGACGTAATCCCAAACGGGGGCCAAGGGGCCGGTGCAGAGCCTGGAGGGGAGGAAATTTGAGCGCCCCAAAATTTGGGGGTGACCCTAAAAATCACTGGGGGAGCCCAAAATTCCCTCACCCAGGACCCCAAAACTCCCCAAAGGGTTTCCAAAACCCACCGAGGGATCCGAAAATCCCCCCAGGAACCCCCAAATCCACCCAAGATGCCCTAAAAGGGACCCCAAAACACTCGAGGACCCCTCAGTGCGACCCCAAAATCCCCCCAGGACCTCCCAAGGGGACCCCAAAACTCTCTCAGGATCAACCCGAGCCCCCCGAAAAATCCCTCCAGACCCTCCCTATGCGACCCCAAATCCCCCAAACCATCCCAGGACCCTCCAAGGGGACCCCAAAATCCCCCAGGACCCCCAAACCGCCTCAGGCCCGGCCAAATTCCCAACCCCCCCTCACGGAGCGCTCAGGGGGGCTCCCACCTCCGGCCCCCCGAAAGCCCCCCGCCCCTCCCCGCCGCCGGGCGGCCCCGGTGGGGTCCCCGGCTGGTCCCGACCTGCGGAGCGCGGCCGGGGAGGGGACGGCGGAGGGCGGCAGCTCCATCTCCTCCCGGAGCCAGCGCCCCAGAGCCTCCGCCATCATGGCCGGGGGGCCGTGAGGGGAAGCGAAAAAGCGCGGGAAAAGCGCCGCGGGGCAGCACGGGAGTTGTAGTGCGGGAGGGGCGGGGCATGCAATGATGCGCTATGGGAGGCGCGGGGCATGACGGGAGTTGTAGGCGAATAACGGGGCTGCTGTGGCGCGCGAAGCCTCATGGGAGTTGTAGGCGCGGCTATAGTGATTCGTTATGAGGCGCGAGGGTTGATGGGAGTTGTATGCGTATTTGTAATGGCGCTCTATGGGCGTCGCGGGGCATGATGGGAGCTGTAGTCCAGAAAGTCGGTCAAACCGGAAAGATGGGGGCCTGGGGACACTTGGGGGCCAGAGGAGCCATTTAAGGGATCTTCCAAAGGCATCTGAGGGGAACTTAGGGGTCAGAGGGCACTCAGGAGCCACTTGGGGATCGGCTCTAGGGGGCCTCTGTGGGTCGCGGGGGACGATGGGAGTTGTAGGCTCTGGGCAGCATGGGAAATGTAGGCGCAAACCTGCCTTTACCGAGGGCCTGTGGGACGCGGGGGAGGTTTAGGGTGACAACTGGGTGTCCGTGAGGGCACTTGGGGGTCCCGAGTGGGCAAGGGGGGGGACACTTAGGGATCCTGGGTGGCAGCTGGGGGTCCGGAGGTGCAGTTTATGGACACTTATGGGGCTGGGGGGGATATTTGGGCGGCATTTGGAGGCGTGTACAGGCGCCCTGTGTGCGTGGCCGCGTGGCACGACGGGAGTTTTAGGCTCCGTTGCCCCATTGAGCCTCTGTAGAGACGCGAGCCGTGACGGGAGTTGTAGTCCAGCCATCAACATATTTGCGTGGGGCCGCAGGGCACGACGGGAGTTGTAGGCTGCGCTACAGCGGCGCTCTTTGAGGCCGCGCGGCATGACGGGAGCTGTAGTCCAGCCTTTAATAGAGCTCTGCGGGGCCGCGGGGCGTGACGGGAGTTGCAGTCCAAAAAAGCCAAAATGGCGCGGCCTTAAGGTACCGCCCTCGAGGCCCCTGATTGGTTGCAAGCTTTGATTGGCAGGCGCCTCAAGCAATGGGAGGCGGCGCCGGCGGAAGGCGGGAAGCGGCGGCTCCTGAGGGCGGCGGTGAGGGGGGGGGGCCACCCGGGACCCCCCAAAATCCCTCGGGAACCGCCCAAACCCCAAAAGGTTCCCCGAATTTATCCCAAATTCCCAAAATCACCCCAAAATTCCCCACAATTCCCCAAAAAGTCCCCCAAAAAACCCCCCCAAACAAAATCCTCCAAAAAATCCCTTTTAGACCCCAAAAAGTTCCCAAATCCCCCCAAAAATCCCCCAAAATTCCCCAAAATTCCCATTTCAACCCCAAAAATCTCCTTGAAACCCCAAAATTCTCCCAAAATTCCCCAGAAATCTGAAAATCCCCTCCAACATTCCCAAAAAATCCCCAAAAATCCCCCAAAATCCTTCCCAACATTCCCAAAAAAATCTCTAAAATTCTCAAATTCCCCCCAAAAATCACAAAATTCCCCAAAAATTTCTCATTTCAACCCCAAAAAATCCCTTTGGAACCCCCAAAATGACCAGAAATGCCCAAATCTCCCCAAAAAAATCCCAAATTTTCCATCCCCAGAGCTGTCCCTGGGCCACCTGGAGCCCCAAAATCCCCCAAAATCCCCCAAAATCCCCCAAAATCCCCCAAAATCCCCCAAAATCTCTTCCGACCTTGGCACAAAATCCCCAAAAATCTCTTTGAGCATTCCCAAAAAATTCCAAAAAAACCCAAATTCCCCCAAAATTCCCATTCCAGCCCCAAAAAATCCCTTTAAAACCCCAAAGCTTTCCCAAATCCCTCCCAAAATTCCCAAAAAATTCCAAAAATTCCCAAAAATTCCCCAAAATCTCTTTGAGCATTCCCAAATAATTCCAAAAAAAACCCCAAAATCCCCATTCCAGCCCCAAAAAATCCCCAAAACTCCCTAAAATCCCTCCCAACATTCCCAAAAAATCCAAATGTTCCCAAAATTCCCCCAAAATCTCTTCCAACATTCCAAAATTATTCCAAAA